TTTATGCTAAACTTGTAGATTCATAATATAACATGGCTCGAACAGCGGCAGAGATACAGAAACTCAAAATTGAAAAGAAATTCGTATGGTAAGGGGAAGGGCACCGTCTTCAATTGCAATTTACAGACCCTTGAACATTTGTTGGAAATGGAGTTTGCTGTTTTCTTCTCAAAATTGGACTATTTGCAAAATCTACTTTGTGCGGAGATCTCACGTATTGAGCGTAGGAATAAGCTGACTAAGCTAGCCTACTCATCAGATGGAGGTTGGGGGACGGTCCGCCAAAATGGAAACAAAGTTAAGAAACAACGATGATCGGCCAATTTCTAGAGCGGAAACCAGAGAAACTGGAAGAAAAGACTTAAAAATCGTTAAGATAAGCCCCGAAGAGCGTTTGTTGCACATGCTACAGTTAGAGGCGGGGCGCCTATCCATCCAGACAATCTCAAGGACGTCTTTTTAGTGGTCTCTGGGGTCTCACGTGTTGCACAATATGCGCAAATACAGGGCAAAGGGCATGTTGGTTGTACCTCAGTGGCATTTGGCAATTTTCTGGCGATTGCTGGGCAAACAAAGAAGTTTATGTTCCCAGTCGAATTTGCGGAGGTCTCTTTGGTGAATCAGATAATTTTAAATGTTAGCTTTGAAAATCGATTTCAGTGTTTAAAATGTGTTGTTTTTTCTGTTTCAGATATGAGACGTCATGTATGTGACAGGATATTGTATATATAGTTTTTAGGAATATATTTTTAGCTTTTTCATTTCAAGTAGTTCATTAGTTGTAGTACAAAATGTATATGCTTGGGTTAAGAGTCCAAGCTGTTGGTACATTTTATTGAAGGGTGGACAGGTTAGTCTATTCCTGTCCCTTTGTCACAAATTCTGTAGCTTGTCAATACAATAGCTTTCAGCGTCCTAGCTGATTAACATTATCTAACTACAGCTCTCTTCCCTAACATTTGCACACTTTTTATTCACTCTGCTTATAACTCTGCACAGACAAGACATGGACTAAATATAGTTCAGGAATGCCATAATCCCCTAGATGTGGGTTTATAGACACACCCCGCTGTTACCCACAGGTGTGATTGATTGAGGAAGTGATTCATAATGGAATAAATGTCACAATGTTAACAAACACAACTGCATTTGTCATTTTTCGTAATGAACCACCCCTGCAACATGAATATCATGATGAAATATTTACTCTCCCAGACAGGAAACCGGAAATGCAGGGTTTGAGTATATTACTAGTATTAAATGAAACTAGATCAGCCACTACTTAGTCCTGCACCATGACTGTGGCATATATTTATTGTATGAAAAAAACCAAACCATCTAGATATGTATATAAAAGCAAGTCTGGCCAGCTCTAAAAGCATTTGCTTAATTTTAAAGCTAAGGCGTGAAGGATATTGTGTAATACAAGATTAAATAGACTAAATGTTAGTCTAGCCACTACTGTAAGATCATACAACTTAGAATTCAAGAGATTTTCTGTGTGGGTAGATTCCCATAGTTTACCGACTTTATCACCAGTTGCCCAAATACACTTTATTTCTTATCTTTGATAGAAACGTTGTGAAAGTAGCTCTCCTGTCCATACAACTTTTAAACAGCATACGATATGGTCATGTTCTTGTTGGGTAATTGTCCAACTGAAAATGCAAAAATGTATCTGGTCAGCGGAGATTAGCTAAACCATTAACCAAAAAGGAACCGATAACAATACCGCAACTAGAGGTGAACAATGTTCAGCAGAGTGGCTGCAATGACCTTTGTGCTTTTGCAGGTTTTCAGTTGAATGGTTATTTTTAGCACGTTCATATATCATTTTGCCGTGAACATTATTTGTCTTTATTATATATTTCAGTGTGAAAGATTTAGTTTGAGAAAAGAGATATTTTCATTGCAGTGAGCACAACACTTGATATTTCACTGCAGTGAACATGAAACTTTGACGGTACTACTGTCATGCAAGTTACTTCCCCTTAAATTGTCTCCCTTTATCGTAGGTGTCTAGCCCGTACACAAACTGTTGACGTCCTTTTTACGTTAGTTCCACATTGACAAGGCAAAGTCATGATAGATGGTCATTTATGGAACTAATATCACCTCTTGCCGTTTGTTGTTCTCTCGAAAATGTTTCGTTATCAACGGTAAATTGCTCATTTAACTCGTCAATCAAGAAATTTCGTTTCGCAAAGCGCCATTTTTGTTACTTGACCAGCGTGTATTCTTTCGCTTCCAAAAGCGGCTCCAATATTTTGTGTTAAAGTTGAATTAGTATATAATTACATCCGAATGTATGATAAAGAATTGTCTTGCCCCTAGATACTCATTCATACATTTGATGTATTTTTTAAAAAGATTTTGCAAACACGAAACCATTTTTAAGTGATGAGGCTTGAAAGTGAAACACAAGGGAACTTGTATGACTAATGTTTAGGCTTCAGCAGCATTTTATTCAAGAAAGACTCAGCAAATGTGACACTATGATCAGCATGTAAAAGGATAAGAAGTCTCATATATATTCCGATTACAGCAAAAGAAATATTTTCTACAGAATAAAGGCCATCAAAATTATGTTCTATAAATAAAGAGACTCCTGTTCGGTTAGATAAAGTGCAAATAAAAAGGGTGATTAGTTTTTATCTTGTCGTACTCCAACATTCCCAGAGAAAAACGGCGATTAAGTGTCATTATGTACAACACAAGATTGACTATTTTAATAAATACTATGAATAATTCGACAATATTTACCACCAATATTATCTTTCAGCATTTTAAGTGAAAGGCCATTTCTCCAAACTGTATCGAAAGCTTTACAATAATCAATAAAGGCATAGATCACAGTTTCCTTGATAATGTTGAAAAATATCAGTTTCAGTCTTTAGTACATATATTATGTCTATCGTAGAGTGACACGAAACCAAGCATGGATTTCCCCTATCAGTGTGATAAATCAGAGAATTTCTGCAGACGCTTGGAGATGATTGCCGTGAAAAGCTTACCTAAACAGCGAACAATAGAATTTCCTCTGTAATTACGCATACAGGCCTGCAGACATATGTATTGTCTCAAGAAGCAAGATCATTATCTTAGGTATAAAGGTTTGGCTGATTTCCACCAGCCCTGGGGTATGACTCAATCAGATAAAGTTATTTTGTTGACGCTGTGTGGTCATGGACAACAGCTCTCATTTGTTCGTTTTGCCTCAGTTTGAATGCGGACTTAAGATCAATAAAATGTCATGTTTTTCAAATCCATAAATATCTTCAAACGAATGAGATAGAACACTCACAACAACATCTGAGCTGACGCAAGCGAGCGTTGCACAGCGACAATTGGAAACCTATAAAAAGGAACTGACGCTAACGCTATTGGTGGAACATGATTGCCTCTCGTGCAGCTCGACCGGTCCCTGAGTTGGCAATCATTTGCTTGGTGCTGTATATCCGATATTTGTGATAGGCAATGTTTTACGTTTACATATAGGATTGCTTAGATATTGTTATAGAAGTCCAAAATAAGCAGTAATTGTAATCAGAGTACATTTAGTAAACCTTGTCCTTCATAAGTGTCACCTATTTTCGTTATATCACGATCTCTCTGCAAATGTCTATTCACAATTTTCACATTGAAACAAATAATAAGATTATGGTATCATAGATAGTTACCTGGAAATGAACTTCATCTATCTGAATCAACTGTGTGGGTAATGTTCACTGTTGATAGCTATGTATCTATCAGTGAACATTCGCGCGAGCAGCACGTGTCAGGCATGACTTGATTACCACTGTGTATCACTTCGCTATTTACATCCATGAATAATGTACTGTTATCATTATGCACTATTATTGTACAGGTTGATGCACTCGATGTTACCTTGTGATTATATTTGTTCACTGTTTGGATTCATGATGTCTTTTGAGTGATAAGAACGGTGTTTATCAGGGACTATTTCTTGTACACACTCTTGCATCGTGGCTAATTTTAGACAGTAAGTTGACATTTGATCTAGATAAACAATGACCTAATTCACTGGTTATTGAAGATGTTCCTATAACTTTCTTCTTCTAAAATTTTTCAAAGTATATTTCACTTTGGACATTAATGATAATTACACTTTATCGCACTGAATAACTAATTTGATCTGTTTGACATTTCTGAGGTTACGGTGACCTGACAATTATGTTTACGCTTGGCATAGTGACTGTTTATAGTTTGGATGTCCGTTTTCACATCAAAGTTATAGATTCACGATAAAGTATTGTCCTGCAGTCTAATCCAGATTTGCAATATCCAGACACACAGAGGACAACATATACGTTCCCATATTTCTTGCATTTGTACCTGTCCGTTTCTCTGTTTATATTTGCCAAGTATTTTAATTAATCGTGTTAATGTCCGAATTATTAAAGGACATATAGGACAAGATCAATACTTGGAATGAGGGCATATTTTCTCCTATAGGCTTATATTTGCCATGGTCTTAGCGTACGTTTGACGTCTGTCAAACTGTCCTCCCAGTCGCTTGGTCTGAATCTATCCTTGTCCTTAATATCATTGTATCAGATATTAGCACACATTCTGTTTGTTCAACATGTTCGATCTATTCGGACACTTTGTACAGTATAAGGACAATACCAATTGAAAAAAGAAACTGATTGTTTTGTAAATTCTTTGGAGACCGAGCCCTGTTAATAAAATCTAATAGACTTTATAGTAGTTGATCAAAACTGGGGGTATATATTGGCATCATTTTTTCATCACATTGTTAATAATTCATGTCCACATTGTTGACATTAAAACAAAATTAGACATAAAGTTTGAAAACGCCATTACAAACTTGGACTGCCAAACTTCATCTTCTGCTTGTGTTATTTGTGTTTCCGCTAGCACCCTAAGAGTGTTACACTATGACCAGTGAGCTTAATCATTTTGTTCTGAACAACACGGCAGCGATCGTGCCCGAAGCGTAAAATTATATCGTGTCATATACCGATTGTAAAGATAGAAATCAGTCGGATATGTGTCCTACATCAGTTTGATTGTTTCCAGTGACATGCCGCTAAGGGACCGACCGCTACTAGGTGGGAGTGGTTGTTAGAAACAGGATAGTTTGTTGTTACTGCCACGATTTTAATATCTGAAATGAATTTGCTCACATCATACCTTCAGGACATCCACCATTTATATCAACAGTTTTATTTGGGAAAAATGTTTTGTCAGCATACATAGGAAAAATAGTTATTTCACAAATATTCCAGAAGTAAGCACAAAAAACAAAAAAACACCACCCACACCTCAACCAGCCATCGAGATATCAAATGGTCGGTAGATATTCAAGCACCTGTACTATGCTACATGTTCTCCACTTGTTTTGTTATCCCTGCTCTTCTGTGGATGATTGAACTCAAGACAAAAGTGGCGAGACTAATTATTTACCCAACAGAAAACACACCATTAGGCGTGATGCAGAGCTCCTTCGCTACAAAGCACCACGGGTATTTGGTTCGAATCCTACATTGTCCAAAGGTCAGCGCCATGATGGTGATGGTGTAGGCTCTTAAACCTGAGCGGTTTAATCCATGTTAAATCCAAGTCACTAAATTAAGGTGTAAAGGTTGGTATCACATTATATATCCAATGTTGCAGACAGACGGAGAGGAGGCACTTATGAAATAGTTTAATAGATTCTTTAGCAATATATGTCATACAAAAGCGGGAATGATTGTAACCCTAAAAAGGTAGAACGACTTCATCACAGTGAGAAACTATTGACTGTGTGTCGGGTACCTGACCTCCAGATTGTGAGGGAGAGTGGGCATGTCATCTACTCTGAGGGACACAGATTTCAATTCGGGATGCTGTATCGACAGAGGACACTTCACAAAACCCGTCTGGTGCCTGAAACATGAAACGATTTGATTAAATGTCATGTAGCGAGTGACTGACTGACTTTGGTTTAAAGCCACTTTTACAGCGTCTCGGCGTGATGTGGGAGTCAAGCACGTAGTGATGCGGGTGAAACCCAGCAGCACGGATATGATGCTGACAAACCTCGAGACGTGATCAGGGTGAATCTGATGATTCGAATGGACAATCACAGGTTTCTGGCACCCCAAAGGGACGCAACTATGCGAATTGGCGGCACCCGTGGCTCCAAATGCCTTTCACAGGGTACAAAATAGTACTAGATTACTAAGTATGATTTCTAATATTTTCTAAAGGGGAACGCCATAACCCCACTAGACCACAGCTGTTAGGATCAGCTGGTCCCAGGTTCGAATCTCATATTGACCCTATTCTGATCCTTGGTTTGTACCAGTCCGTGCTCCGTGTACCAGTCCGTCCGTGCTCCAATTTGACACAAAGTACACACGATCCACGGCCTTGCACAAGCCCTGATGTAGCTGAAGTACTATGACGTGTTGTAAACCCGAAGTGTGTAACTCCTCCCCAAGATAAATATTGATCCAATGATTGAAAGATATTTTGGTAGTAATGAAGCAGAATACCTATGACGAATATTTCCATTTACACAAATAAAATAAAATAGGAATGCTCAAGATAAGTCAAGTATCATTAGAAAATGAATCGTTATGAACAGAAAATCAGTTTGTATTTTTGACGATAATATATCGATATACCGATATTACATGTACGTGCATTGAGTACATTCGAGAAAACAAAGACTGGCAGAACAAGCTGCTCAAACAAGACGAAAACAAAGATTAAAATAGGTTAGATTTAAAATATAATGTGACGGCACGAAGATATGTGGCATGCATTTACTAATACGTCTTTAATTGTAGGTGGTGTTCGTGATTATGTATACGGTGTATATGTTCATATATCTATAACGATTTGCGAATATTTGCGACATGTATTTTAATCTCAAGGATGTCAAATCCCGAGTAATTGAGATGATATGTATATGTAAATGAATTCTAGCTAAGAAGAATCATATTAAGTGGATATACCTCTTATGTAGATACTTTCCGTTGGTCCCGACAGGCTTACACAATATTTATTTTATGTCTGCGGAGTAGAACCCTCTCAGCTGAAATGCCTGTTCGTTACTATACATGTCCATGACTTATTCCCCTTTGTTGTAAACTTCTTCTTGTGATTTGTATCTACCAAGTGAGAGTGAGTTTGGTTTGACACCGCTTTTAGAAATATTCCAGCTATATCACGGCGGGGGACACCAGAAATGGGCTTCACACATTGTACCCATGTCGGGTTGTTTACTAAGCATTTCATAATGTATAATTGTGTGTTTTACTTGATGTGTTATACACAGCTTAACAATATCCCCGCTACATCACCGTGGTCTGTAAATAATGCGTCATGATCACATAAGCCACTATTGTACGATAAATCCATGCATGTTCTCACGACAGCACTCACACTTCTCACGACAGCATCGTTACCTGCGGACTATATTTATCGGCAATCCATTGGTGTAAACTGAAGAGCATGATCTTAAATATCTGAAGTGATAGTTAAAGCACAGGTACAGTATGATGCTTCTACACAACACACATGACTTCACTTTGATAATCATATTCACTATGAATACGTCAATGGTAAATACAGACCTCGTTAATATAAGAAGCATGTGGAGAAAATAGTTGATAAACATACCCCACTATGTTAAGTAGCATCTTCATTGGCGAGAACACTCCACCCGTGTGGACAATCTCCCCTGTCATGAAAGTAACAACACATGTGTATGTACTTGTCAGGTAACCATCCATTGCAGCCACGAGGACGCCGATCATTGGACCTTCTTCAGCACTGTACATGTAGATAGCAGAATGTATTTGTAACCCACCATCGGCCGTTACTTGTTTAAACTGTCTCCATTTTTCATATTTTTCGTCTTCTGTGTTGGAACCGTCTTCATTTGTATTTGTGGATCTAACACCTGTCTTGTGTTCACCATGGTACATGAGTGACGTGACTCTGGCTTGATCTTTGTTTGTGGCATCAACGAACATATTTACATTGTGGTCATTTGGCTGTGTCTTCACGTAACCTATGCCTGACATCAGCAGGTGTGAACGATTGCTTCTTTCCCTTTTGAACATCGAGATCCTCCTGTCTTGTAAATTGTTCATGAACACGGATATCAGGGCAAACACTATTATCAAGCCAAATCCTTTGTGTATTTTAAGCGACGTATACGCAGCCATTGTCGTTTTCATGCAAATTATTTAATCTGCGAAAATCACCTGTAAAAAGTGTCAATAAAAAATTGGAAAATTTCTGAATACAGTTGCAACAATCTTATTTAAAACGTATCGTTGTCTGTCTCTATCAGGCTGTTTATATTATCGAAGTGAGGTCGTTAAATATAGCTGCTGCGACCTTTGCTGACGGCCACAAAAACGAAAGGCTTCGATCTATTTAAATCAGCCGACATCTACGTGATCTTAAAATAAAGACCATGTACGTACTAGAACTTTCAGATATTGTATTTTGAAGTGCATGCATGATAGGCTGTGTACTTACAATAACTGGTTCAGATGGACCTCTATGGAAGGTAATGCAACAGCAATGAAGGGCCACGTTCAGTCTATCGAAACGACCAATGCGATTAAAACACCACTTTTATCTCCTGCCTATTGTATGTGTCATTTTGTATTGCTCAGAGCAAAATAAGTGCGACATATCAATACATCACTCGACAAAATAATTACAATGCCTCTGGTAAAACTGCATGTAATGGGCAACTCAGTCTGCATTGCGTACAACATGTATTGTACGTGTGTTGATTTAACGCCGCCTTGAAGCGTATTTCAGTTATATCACGTTATGTCAGGTCGTAGACGTTTTCTACTTTGATGAAACCCACGGGCATGGTGCTGACAAACCTAGAAATATGATTAGTGCGAACCGAGATCTGAACCAACGATCATCGGTTTATTGCACGCCATGGCGAATTGCGGCGTCTTAGACGACTGGGCCACTCGTGTCCACTACTTCGCTTGCAATGTTTTTATTTTAATATATGCATAGTTGGGACTTATGACAATACAAAATGCACAGAAAGGGATATCATGTGTCAAAAAGACTGAGGTTTTTAGGCAGCGTTTTCTAATATTGACATTGGCAAGTCTTTGACCAAGGGGAATTTTCAGGGGATATGTAGATAACAACAGAACAAACAAATGCCAAAAAATCTTATTGAGTAACGTCCTTGCTCATACTTTGATAGATTCACATTTGAAATTCAAATATATTCTTCCCCTTTCAATATCTTGTTCTAATATTCGTTTTGGTTTTTGGTCTTCGTTATGTCTCTATCATCAGTGCTTTTCATAAGGAAGTTTTTGGACCATGTATTTCCCCTAACAAAAGCTGGATGCATACAACAAAATCACCAGATGTCCTGATGGTGTTTTATCTTACCTGACATCACGAAAACATACTTCAACGACCGAGGTAGTATTGTGTTGTGCAAGTTAGCTTGTATGTGGGCGTACCACTGTTATCATGGCTTAGGAAGGTTTTATGTTCTATTTTGTGAACCGTGTATTTTATCAATATATCGGACATCGACATGTAAAGGAGATTAACGCCAACCTAATCCTTACAAAAAAGCAAAACGTTTTCAATTTAAATTCGATTTGCGATTGATCTCTGTTGACATGAATAACAAGTAGCTACACTTTGAACCATCAAGGCGTATATCCTCAATTACTAATTGTACTGTCACGTATAGGCCACGTCCAGTGAACTCAAAACGTCAACAGTAGGAATGATCTACGCAGCCGTTACCACCAACCTCCAAGACTTCAAAAACTACAAGAAGCCATCAACATCCAAAGACTCCAACCATCAATCAACCTTGACCAAGGCTACTACATCCCACCGGCGTACCACCAACTCATCAAAGACCCCAATCAGCCATAATCCTTTTGTTGTTTATACTACTGGCTTCATCCTTTTGTTTATATTACAGGCTTCCCCAGCCAATATTTTTTTTATCTTCCATTGTACATAACATAATAATTTTTTATGCTTCTCCACTCCAGCAGTGTAACTGCATCTTAAACCTACTCAACAGTATAAACACTGCCTCCTATCCTGTGTATATACTCGTAAAACATACCCTGTATATCACTTGCTTGATAACGGTATCAGAACCTACAACGAAACGTCGCTCCCAGTTGTAATAAAGAAGTTGTTCACCCATTTGTCTTATCCTTACTTAGCACGCCAACTTCTAAATTCCTCTCAAAGTCGTTACAACTATGAATATTATTCTTATACTCATAGAGAGTATGTGTTCACATTCAGAGATTCAGAACTGAGCCATAGTGTGCTGACAACACAACACCACAGACATTCAAATATGCAACCGTACATTATGTGACAGTCAAGCTTTGCGCATGCGTTCTCTGCACACGGGCTTATTAAGCGCAGGTGTGAAACATCGTTGGTCACTTGCGAACAAATGGCCGGGGCTTCGTTAAGATATATTGGCGATTAACCTGTCATCGGAATGTTCACATCATTTTGTTCCAGATTTTGTTGAGCCTACACCACAACATGAGTGAGTGAGTGAGTTGGGTTTAACGCCTCTTTTAACGGTATTCGAGTGATATCACGGCGTGTCACATTTGGAGGAGGAAAGCCCGAAGTGATGCAGGTCTCAGACGTTTACCACTTCGGTGAAACCCATGACCACGGGTATGGTGCTGACAAACCTAGAAACATACTCGGGGTGAACCGGGATTCGAACCCACAATCATAGGTTTCTGGCGTGCCCAAGGAACGCAACTCTGCGCAAAATTGCGACGCCTTAGACGACTGGGCCACCCGTGCTCCCACCACAACATGAGGCGTCTCTGATCGCCCACATGATATTTCGCCCGTGGCAATACAGTTGATGTGTCCTGGTCCTAACTGTCGAGGAATGTTTGTCACGGGAAGTTGCATAGGAAATAAACCACGGCAGTTTTTTAACGTAAATCCGAAGTGAAGTGACCAAATCGTTTGTACGTGCTGTTTGAGCATAAAAGGCACAATCCGAGCTCAGTGTGACTGGTATCGCACAAGTCAATATCCACCTAAAAAATAAAAATAAGTAGAAGTACAACATGTTCACACATGTTGTCGATAAGGGTAGCCAAGGGTGTTTTTTTCTCAGGCTGTATATGGATCAGTGTACTGGATATCCTATAGAAAACACGTACTGTGTAAAAACTGACGCCCTGTTGGAAATAGCGTGGGAGACGAAAAGCGGTACAAATACCTTAGAATGTGATTCACTTTAGTTCAATGTCAATTTCTGAAACGATTTATATAGATGGTAAATACTTTTAAGTCACGTGTGTGTGTGTGTGTGTGTCGAAGGTGTTGTTATGCAAAGTTGCGTCCTTCAGGCGTGCCAGAAGCAATGATCGAGGGTTCGAGTCCCAGATTCGCCCTGATAATTTTCCTAGGTTTGTTAGCACCATACCCCTTTTCGTTGGTTCCAACAAAGTGGTAAACGTCTTAGGTGTTCAAGTGATCGATGGTAGCTGTTGACAACAAGGACAATCAGTTGTATTCCCCTACAACAAGCGTGATACAAAACATGTTCTTTTGTCTTTGTTTTTGGTTGAATTGTTAAATTGCCTTTCCTAATCAATTACATCGTACACTGTGCATCAGCAAATCTGATCTGATCGAACTGATATTTCCACATATGAAATGTGCCAACAGACGTTCAACTGCAAACTAAGTTACAAATGTATTAACTACACCTAATCTTGCCAGGCTAAAGATTTCCTCAACAAAAGAAAAGTGTCATACACATAAATCAGCACCGGCACAGCAGTAAATGCAAGACGCGATATGTAGATGACAGGGTTTTCCCATCAAGTTCTGAATGGTATATTGGTGTTAGTGGGTCATGTGGTATAACATGCTGCATTAATATCATTCAATCACATTTATACCCGTCAGTTGATATTGAATTATTTCTTTTTACCGTGAGTTCCATTATTGGAAAATCGGCTTTGATATCGATGTAAAATCCTGGCATTTCATTGGCCGGTGACCCTGCTCACAGGCAAACACCACAAGATAGATCAATACCATGTGAAACTCGTTTAAGGAAGCGGGTACTGGAAATGTACTGACAATCGCCGAGTCCTCTGTGCATCATTTCACTTTGTAAGTGTGAACATGCTCAACAAAATATACATCCACACAGTTTAGGTTGGCACTTCTCTTGGGTGATGGTTTCTGTGGCATCCTATTCAGCCCTGGTGCTAGTCATGGCGACTTCTTGTTTCACATCATCATCAGGTGTGTATGGTTTTGACATATTTCAGAATGTTAATGATTATAGATGTGGTAAATGCTTTTCCTTTCCAGTATTCCATACCTTGAATATATATTTTGGATTTGACAGAAAACACGATAAATACATTTTCACATAGAAAATATGGCTTTCGTCATTAAATATGAAAATAAAATAAATTCAACACTAATAATTCCTCAGTTTTCGTACATCCGAATTATGACAAACTTGGGTTACTGACTTACATTTGCTGAGCTCTTAGGTTTGTTTGGATGTTGTTTAAACACAGCACTCAGCAATATTCCAACTATATGACGTCGGCCTGTAAATAATCGAGTCTGGACCAAACAATCTAGTGACTGATATCATGAGGATTGACCGACGCAATTGGAATACGATGACATGAATTAACCAAGTCTGCGAGCATGACCACCCGATCCCATTTAGTCGCCTCTTAAGACAAGCATTGTCGCCTCCTATGACAAAGCATGGGTTGCTGAAGACCCATTCAAACCCGGATCTTCACGGATTGAGCGCAAAGGTTATCATATATGATACAAACGTATGATAAAATTTTAATTGAACTGCCTTTTGAACAATATCTGAGTTACATATTGTTTTCTGAAACCAACGGGTACGGGTAAGATGATGACCACTGAAGAAGCCATAGAGGATGCATAGGGGATTGGAACTCGATAAGAGGATCCTGATCCAGAAAAGCGAATGACGTGATCATACGAGCCTTCAACACATATGACATGAATTACCTATCGGTGACAGCACTGGAAACCTATGGCGATCAACAAATGCAATATGTTCACTGTTAATTTGGATTGGTTGGAGAGACTAGTGGTGGAAACGTTCGATATTCAAACCGAGGATTCGGGTTTGAATCCTGCTCATTCTTCGTCACTCCCTGAATCTTAACTCGTAAATCACCACTCACTCATCGTTGACTGACCATTTTATTTTCATTTTACTTTGTGCTGTATTTAATAGTCTAAAGTGTCTAAAGGGTTGTTATATGTGTGTGAAGTGTGTCATCACTGTTTGGAAGTGATTCCTAAAAACATGCTCAGGTTGAGTCGTGTAAGTAGTTGCACTTATATTTCTTTAGTTATCATTATTGGAAGGATTTCGTATTGGAGAAGTCTTCAATCTACAAAATATATTTCTCAAAGTTTGCTAATGATCAAGTTTCGATGCTAATTATAAAAGAATCATCCCAGAAATGAAGATTGAAATAACTTTTGAATGGGTAACCTCTACAGTGCCTCAATGTCATGATGAACGGACAGAGGCATGCAGTTGTGTGCACGGTATGCACAAGACTCTTGAAAACCAGTGATAGGGTGTATCGTTGCACATCATTATCTGAGAGCACAACATCATTTGCTACTGAGGATGGCAACATCTGAATGCACGTATGCCCCTCAGCGTCAGAGACGTCGTCTGACGACAGAAGAACGTCAAGTTGCAAACGTCGTTGGTATGAGCCAAAGTGTGATCAGCAGGGCGCGGAATTCATGTAAGATGTTTAGATCAGATACAGAACGGCATGCAGGTCATCGACAGCGTTCCACCAAACAGCGAGAAACCTTCTCATGATTGCAGCAAGACGTCATCATTTCCTGACTGCCACCTCACTGCGAAAATCCAGTTGCGTTAACGTTTTTACTCAGACAGTGAGCAGTCGTCTCCTTGATGCTGGTCTCCGGTCACGGAGGGCATGCATTCGCATGCTACTGACCCGACATGACAGACAGGCTAGTTTGCATTTGGCAGAAGATCACGCCATTTGGATAGCTGATTCGAGACTTCGCAGATCGTCGTGCCCGAGTGTGGCGTAGACATATTTCACGATTCCAACGCAGCCGAACATGACCGCTATGGAGGGGATTGGGTGGGATCAGTAGAGCTGGGGGAACCGATCTCCAAGTCCTACAGTCGGGCACGTTGACATGTGTGCGCTACAGGGATGACATTCATGATGTGTACGTGCTGATCCAATAGGAACGGACTTCATCCCCATGGATAATAACGCACAACCTGCTGATAGCAGGAGACCATTGTCACCATGGATTGGCCAGCCTGGTCACCAGACTTCAACCCTATCCAACACATGTCCTTCCTGCAACTCTATGGAAACTCGACAATGCTCTAACTGAAGAGTGAAACAACCCTCCCTTGGCAATCATCAACATACATATTGGGAGTCTGAGACGACGGTGCCAGGCCAGCTTGTGATGGCATCACCTGGAACATGTGACTGTTGCTTCTCGGTAAATGAATTTGTTTTTGTGATCTCTTGACGTTTCAGTTTTGGTCAGATACTCCCATTTTGACGGGTGATCTGACTGATTATTGGTCACATGCTCTTTGTTGGTATTGTGTGGCACATGACAACTGATTTTCGTTCATTAAACATGTCTTCGCGCAATATTGTCCTTGGCTATTTTAACAGATGCACACAATCTGACGTATTATCTTTTAAAGTGGTGACCCTTAGCAACTTTGAGTTGTATATAGGTAAATAGGAATTGATAGCTTCCTTTATGGTTTAAAACCTAGTTATCCACTTGACAGTGTGAGTGTGATTTACAATTTGAAATCACTGCGGTAGTGCTTAATGTAATACATCAATTTACACACAAACCTGTCAACCAAAGACAGTATTAAGTATCAATTCAAATAAAAATGTGGGGAGAAGTGATCCACGACCAGTAGCCAAATAAGGCCATTATATTGAGAACCCGGGATTACCTCAGGGACTCTCTGCATAATATTCCACCTCGATTAACATCCGTTTCTGCCATCGATAGTAAAAATGGCGGGTAAGACAAAACATGCACAAATATACTGACAAAACTGTGGTAGAGATAAACAAACTGTGAATGATGTAACCAAGCGTAGACTTACATATTGGCTTTCATAATTTGCAAATGTGCTATAATCATATACAGACAGACACAAATATACACAGGTCTATCAGTATTCACACGCAGTGTAAACATGTGCACCTGAAACTGCGAGAATGCTTTCTTTTTCTGTGTTCGATCAGTTTGTGAATCATTGCATAGAGTCTCCGGTTCGATCGTACTAATAACTACCCGTGTTTCCGTTGCCATGTTATTTTATTTACTTTGAGCATGTCTGCAAACTGTCATTATTTTCTGTAACGTTATAACACTTTAAAACTTGTCAATTTATTCTTGGTGAAATTCTTTCAGGTATGTTATACAAACTAAATATCAATATCAATTCAAATCACATTTTCATGATTGTCATTTTCATATATTCACACAATTTCACTGAACTGATGAACAGATTTTGTATTGGATCATTAACCAAAATTCGTTTTTTCATCCTCCTCTTCTCCAGTTGTGGGGTAGCCTAGTGGTTAAAGCGGTCTCTCGTTATACCATAGACCCTGTTTCGTTTCCCCACATGAGGACAATTACTCAAGCCTATTTTTGGTGTACTTTACCGTGATTATTGATAAAAAAAACTCTCTCTGAGGCTACATTATTGTGATTATGCGTCACAGACATTGGCATTTTGCTGATATTGGAAATGTAAGATGTTTACACGGATTGGCTATATATATTTTGACTGTATATGCATGTACAATGTATATAAATCCATAGTCGTAACAGGTATTGCCTTCGATTCAAAGGCAAAAGGCAGGGCAGCAATGCATTCTTCTGTTTATCCACTAAGTATAATATACTGAAGGATTGGAGTAGTGTAACGTGTTCTGTAACAGTCCTTACTGGTGTACTTTATACACGTATGATTCAAATTACGAACTGGTTTTGTTGATATCAGCAAGGTATGGCACTATACGACCCAGTGATTCAAGATACTTGTCCACGGTATATTTCTGTGTACTTTCCAAAAGTACACTTATTCAGTCGAAATGGGAGCAAAAATAGTTCTTGTGAGAACATAATGTCCTTATTAATACATTACACAGGGTATCTCATGACGATTTAGCGTATTCTATCCAGTAATCGCCAAGGATATTTATATAATGACGGACACTTGTTGAGGACTTGGTTCACCCATGTGCGGTTTTAAATAGCAATCTTATAAAATACAACACAGTTCTCAATCACTTTTACAGAACAGCACATAATCATGCAAATTCAAACAAGAATGTGTCTATATTCACATGCAGGCACTTGTTTATTATGATTCATATGTCAAACCCATGCAGAAAAGGAAAGGATACTCTGCTGCTTGCGTATATACTATAAACAGGCGGTCAGTGAAATCTGCTTTTTACAAGCTGACTGTCGTCAATTCCTTCGTTACGGAAAGCCCACACACGACATTCTTGTTCTGCAAAGAGCTAAGGCCAGTCTACGACGACTGCCTTTGATAAGATTTATCAGTCAGAAGAAATAAGAATTTATTTAGTCAGGTCTGACGAGCAGTAGTGTGATTGGTAGCTTGATGTTGTTTTACGTTTGTATCAAACATTTTTCGTTTGGTAATAGTTGGAATATAGTCTCATCAATTATTAACATAAGGTGATTGTCAATGCATTCACGTAGACTACAGTCAAGTTCTATGTTTACAGGGATCGCAATATACAATGCCATACAGTCATCTGCACACTCCCTTATATACGCCATGCTGCATTTCTGGGCCAATTTATCACATTATCAAATAGCAATGAGTGATAAGCGTATCAGTGACTAGGGTAATGGCCTTTGGAATAGAATGTTATTTTTACCTAGCTAGCTAGATCGATGACACCGATGACAAATGTGTTTGTACGTGCTTGTTAATAAGATATCAAGAGTGGTGTGAGTTTCCAAGCAATAAGTGCGTTCTATGATATATAGCTATTTAATGAGAAATATAATGACCAGTTATGGTTAAATAAAAACTAGCCTAAATCTTACATGTTTCTTGAATGTCACGTTAATATTTCCTTATTGCAGAAACCAAAGAAAGCTGGCAAATCCAATAAAAACGCTTTCGAAAAAGAAAACAAAAATCCTTGATTTACAACAGAGAGCCCTCTTCGGAATAATTCATGAACATATCTGCTCTTACGACGAGGATGTCTGTAATATTTAATATAAGCATTAGTGCATCATTATTGTAGAAACTGGGGAACATTTTCAGGCACCCCTATTAAAACCCTTCCTTTGAGTTAGTGTTTTTTCCCCTCAGTTGTTCGTAAGAGCATCCAGTGCAAATTCCGCAATATATACCTCACGTAAAGATTTCTAACACAACACAAGATTGTTCATATGACAACTTTGATATTACAAAACAAACGACACGCGTGACACCTACGGTATTCGTATAATCGAAATATTTTCTTGAAGCCGCCATTCAGCTTGTCCCGGAATTAGACGGATGGTCAAAAGTGATGTAATCGCAGCACCGCACTCGAATGCGTTGAATATTTATGCAATAATCATTAGTTGTTACAGCGAAAACTCAACTTCTTCACACTCCATCTTATTTGAACCTTTTGGGCAACTGCTGGATCCCAAGATCATTTCACACTTGTTCATCCCAAGGATGCTGAATAGAGCCAATGTAAGAAGAGAAAGGAGACAAACGCCTTGTTTTTAATAAACAAAATTACAACATTTCAACGATGCGGGTGGGCATTTTCGTCCTGACGAATCAAGGAACCTCTAATCGACGTATCGTCCTCACGAACGGTACAATAATTGTGTAAATTAGCGCATCCCAAGGACCATGCATTCCCAACAACGTCTAAACCATTAGACCACCACACCTAATATGAGCCACTACAGCAGTATCCCCACAAGGTTTAGCGGCGCCGTTGTACTAAACATGTGGTATCTGAGAGCAAATGTGAATATTTTCATTGTTTTCTTCAAGGGGTCTGCCCAGTTGACTTCACAGACACACGTGCTGAGACTGGAACATGTCTGTTCTTCTCTGATACACAGAAGAACTGGTACTCCGCACGACATGACTGTGTTCGACGAGGTGGGGAACTTGTGCGTGTTACTTCTAAGGCCGTTGTAGATGCCTGCCACGTGAATATGGCTTCGAAAGGGTAAGTAAACTTTTCATCTACGGTAACCAAACATCTATTTCCTGTACCTTAACTTATGGATATTCAGCCTTTCCATCTCGAAGCAGAACATGTTTTATTTGTGTTTGAGGGTTCATTCCAGACTGGATGTAAGCAAAGTCGTGTTCACCATTTTCAAGACGACATTCATAACGGCTGAGCATTATCAGTAACGAAGGAATCAAAGAACGTCAATGGGTTTAGCTTAGCACTCTCCACTCTCCGTTGATGCCATGATACTGTTCGAGTAAAACGCATAAATTTGTCGCAAATTCTTTTTGTACCAGCGAGGCATATCAGTAGACGAACGTTATCCAAAGAGAGTACAGGCTTGTGGGTAAAACATACTGTGGCGAAAGTACCTGGAGACAGGTCTATTGCAGCTGCTTTGACATAAGAGTCAAACATATAGCATTAGTTATTTCAAATGAAATGACGTTTATGTCATCAATACAGGTGAACAGTTTTTGCCGTGATATTTTCCTCTGCAGAAATGAGATCTACTGGATAGGATTGAATGACATTATCATGGAAGGTGATTATCGATGGCCGCACGGAGATCCATTAACGTGGTCTTACTGGGGTAGATACGGCACTTCTCAACAACCCAATGACGACTCTCGTGCACAGAACTGTCACATGTGTGACATCCGCCCACAAATGAACCCAGTAAATAGTTGGCAGGATCGGGAGTGCTCGGCTGCTTACGCCTACATATGCGAATACTTTCCAGGTAAACGCAATTTCGGATGTCATTTATAAAAGTCTGGAAGTTAATTTAAGGTACCGACGTTTACTACAATATCTGAAAAACTATTGGACCTACTCCAGTCAAAGTTGGTATGAGATTATTAAACAGTCACACCCCATTGGATATTACATTTAAAGACAATCAGTGCATGAATAAAAATCTGTCTATTTAGCTATCACTATATTGCATCAACAACCAGACCTGTTCGTCACGGGTGGAACGAGCATTCATTGTAACAGCCATCTGCATAATGCTACCCCTGCGTCACAGGGCCATATGACACAGTTGAAACAATCAACTCAACTCGAAACGTTGCACGGGAATCACGCACGCACGAAAACGGTGTTAGCGTTGGGCGTCTGAAGCAGTTATTTAATAATATTTCTCCAATTATTTTTGCATTCTTTTTTTCCGGTCAGTGTTATTGACTTGAATGTATCATTCCTTGCCACATTATTATATTTCATGCATCATGTTATTAGGTGTAATATATCATACGTAATTATTCATTTAGACAAATCATTGCTTTATGGTTTCGAAAAAATATTTAATATTTTCGTAGATGATTCGAGACTTTCGGGGCTGTTTCGGGTGAAAGAGAATCAAATTCTGAGCCACGAATTACGACATGTACCACAAAGCACGAACCTGAAATTCGTAGACGATTCCTAGAAATTCTTTGACAAACAATTTTTTTCTCACGAATTCCACGAACTACAAGAATGTTTGGGAATCAAATAAGATATATCTAAGATTCTTAAGAAATGATTAAGAATATGTACGACTATGTACGAATTCATATCCGTGGTAATTCGGGCTATTACATGTCGTAGTGAAACAGGGGTATATGTATTGCACTATTCTTGGTCCCACGAAATGCCCTCGTCGTCAGGGTCGGAGTCTGTGCTGTCACCTAAATGAACAACAACAGGCTGGACAGTATCTGGTCGGATACAGTCTTGTTTCCAATACTCTTCCTCAACTTTGATAACATGTTGGACACAGTTTGCCCAACGTACATCTATAATTTCTCCCATCCCTTTCAAGACAATCTGCTTTTGCTTGTGTAGAAATGGTATTAAACTATTAGGCTGTCATATGATATTGTGGGACGTGATATTACAAAAATGTTTAGTATAGTTATATGCATATGAAATGATATGATGTGACATGACATGATGTGATATGATATGATAAGTGTTGTGGTGTGATATGATACATGAGGGGATATGATGCAATATGTTATGTGTATTATAGAAATTGTGTAAATACTGTTTTTTAGTGTACATATTATATGGCTTGCGGTCTTCCAGTGTTGAATAAATATTGATTGATTGATATGATATAAATTGGCATGGAATGACATGGCATTATATGGTATGATATGATAAGATATGATGGGACAAGCTATGAAATTGCTAATGTGTTGTGTGATATGACATGTTGAAATGTGATATAATATAGGTGTGATATATGGTACGATGGTATGTATGGTATGTTTTGATATGATAATGGTATATGAAATAATACTATATATTATGATCTTATAATAATGATACAATATGATTTGATGTTGTAGAATATGTTGTATGATATAACAAGTTGTGATATGGTAAAATAGAAATTATGAAATTACAGGGTATGGTATTGTACTGTATGTGTGAAATTATGTGACTGTGTTGAGATGCGATGTGGAATGACGTGAGGTGATTTGGTGAGATATGTACATAAATTGTATAAAATTGTATATTTTTCAAATTGTACTATAGGCCTGTGGCCTCTTCAGTACGTGAAATAAAGATAGATTGACAATCTGCTTGACATCGGCAAGCTTGAAGGTCTTACTTTGCCGTGCGACCATATTTTTCAAATCACCCCAGATTAGTTCGATGGGATTCAAGTCACAATGGTAAGGAGGAAGTCTAAGCACTCCGTGACCGTGTTCTCTAAACATGTTGTCAATCAAATAAGAGGGCGGGGGTTTGTTCTGAAGAACCAGTTGGTAGCAGTCAATTCTTTTGGCTTTCGTAGGCCGAACAATGCGGTTGTTGTCCAACCACTGACATATCTCACCTTTGGTGGAATTTGAGGTTGGACAACGGTTAATAGGATCTCGACAACTGTGATAGGGAGCATTGTCCATAACCACGAAGGATTTATCAGGCAGTGCCAAGAGGAGCTGCTCCTCAACATATGCAGTGAAAACCTGACTATTCATCTCGGTATGGTAGTCTCTGCAATCTGTAGATCGGAATCTGAACAGTAGATCACACCCAGGGAAGAAAACCTCTGTGGGAGCCTGCAATCAGGCCCTCCTCTTTACCAGCGCTGTGGCTCTCTGGTATTTGGGTGAGACCATTGTTAAGTCGCTGTGTGGCAGGCGTTAACCCAGGTTTCGTCCAAATAGACAGGCTCATAGCCTTCTTCTCGTTTCTTTTTAATAGTGCGCAAATAATTGATACGCAAACGAATGATGTCTGGTCGTTCACACATTGCTAGTTTCGACCCTTTCGTCTTTTTGTACTGACATCCAAATTTGGAAAGGAGTTTACAAATGGTCCATTTGTTTTAGTTTTCGTGTTGAAATAAATTCATTTTCTCGTGTTAACCGCCGAATCACGTCCCTGACAACATTCTTATCAAAAGAATCTAACTTTAATTTCCTATCCTGTTTTGAGATGCCCACTAAGGGAAGTGCAGGGGAGCATGTGTTTTTATGTCCGGCTTGTTTGGGAAGCTGTAACGCATGAATTTTTCTATTCATGTACTTTTAAATGTCAAAGAAGGGCGAACATCTTTCACTTTTAGCCTTAAAGTATTCAAATATTTTAACAACGAAACCTTTCGCATCAGCGGAAAGATGCTTGCGCTGAGACATCATGAAATCTAATGCTAACACCGTATTCGTGCGTGCGTGATTCCCGTGCAACGTTTCGAGTTGAGTTGATTGGTTCAACTGTGTCATATGGCCCTGTGACGCAGGGGTAGCATTATGCAGATGGCTGTTACAATGAATGCTCGTTCCACCCGTGACGAACAGGTCTGGTTGTTGATGCAATATAGTGATAGCTGAATAGACAGATTTTTTATTCATGCATTTCTTCCAGAATCTGTTGTTATTGCAATATTCTCGTTGTCACATACACACACGGTATGAATGTATAGCTGATCTCCTGCTCCTTTTAAATTATTATACATTCTTTCTGAATATTTGGTTATACTAATTTCCTGTTAATATTAATTTCTGAGCAACATGAAAAGTCGATGGTCTTATAACACTAGTAAGCGTGTGATTTCAACATTGTGTGGAGATGAAAACGAGTTTGTCTTATCATTGATTTAAGTATAAAGGTAACAAGGTATGTCATGTAACGTACTCTTTGTTCATCTGATGAAATGGCGATGCTGACTAGAAGACGCCGAACGGCTGTTTTCAAATATTGATCAGAGCACGACATGTACGTGTCGTGTTGAAATAGATGATGTAAAGGGAGATGTACAAAATATATGTAAGATTATCTATATTAAGAGATATTAATTTTATTGATTATATTGCAGAATTATCAAAATTACATAGCATCTGCATGCATGTTTCTTTGATCATTTTTTTTGGGTATTTATTTATCTTCCAATATAAAGCTAAAAGCGTCATAAGAATGGCATGCCAACTATCAGCTGTCATCTTGCTATTACGGATTATACAGGGCCGCTAGTTTTGTGGATTTACTCGATTATATTGTTTCTTGTTACATTACTCGAGATTGGTCCCATTTCTACTACAGATGAAGACCGTGCCATGCACGCAGGAAACTTCAGGCTGAGAACTGACGCCAATAGTCCCGACAACATGGAGATCACGTCAACCCTTGCATGTTCACATCGTTATCAGTGTGCGGCTGTGTGTCTGCTGGAAGACATATGCGATGGTTTTGCATTTAACACAGCCTTGTCCAAATGTTTTTTTCTAGAACTAAAAGAAAATAGTGCCTCAGAAAGAAATTCTGTTCGATCAGCGATAGGTGTTAGTAAGGTGTTCATTCGCATTGGATGAGAAATGTACACATTTATTGCAATTACGTGCAGTAGTTTTTTGGTAATTGTAAAATATAATTCTCGAAGATTATACAATTAAAATTCGTTTGAAGATTGTTTTGATCGATGTTGCAATTGATGCAACCTCGATTATCCCGTGAATTATATATGGATCATCATTCTATAATGATACATTCCATGGACTCATTCGCCACTGTACCATTGATTTTTATAAAACACGTCCAATCAAATCACACTGCTCACCAGTCATGATCAGCAGTACTCGAATCAATTTTAGGGTTCCATGCAGTCTCAAATACAACACGACCTCCTACCCTTTGTCGCAGTACTCATGAAAAGATTATTCATATAAAGCTCAAGTTCTGATTCTGTTACATATATCGAGGGTTCAGTCAAACGACTGAATTATTTATTTATAAAAACACTCATTCTCAATCCATGACATTAATTTAATGTATGTATTATGTAATGATATAAAATAGATAATTCATGCCTAATTCAATCGATATTTAGTGTCATAGCAAAATGATCAATGAATTGTAGTTGACCCACAATTGACCCATACGTATCTGTACTAGTGTGTAAACATTTGTTATTCTAATTCCTTTTTCTGAACTTCTGATGAAGACCTTATATTGGTGTAACATCATAGGTGTTAACGTTTATTATTCTAATATGCAGGCCCAAGACGTTTAGCACTTCGGTGAAACCCACGAGCACGGGTATGGTGCTAACAAATCTAGAAACATAATCGGGGTGAGCCGGGATTCGAACCCACAATAACAGCTTTCTGGCTTGCGCAAGGGACATTTGGTATTCTAATTCATTCCAATGAAGATCTTGTGTTAGTGTAAACATTCCGGGTGTTAACATTTGATATTCTTATTCCTTCTAATGAACGCCATATATTAGTGTAAACATTCTATGTGTGTAATTTAATATGCTAATCCATTTAAGTGAAGACCGTGTATTAGTGTAAACATTATATGTGTTTAATTTAATATTCTAATTCATTACAGTGAAGAGTGAGTGAGTTAAAATTTTACATCGCATCGGCAGTACTGCAGCCATATCGCGATTATTCCAGTGAAGACCTTGTATTAGTGTATTAGTGTAAACATTACATGTGTAAACACTTGATATTCTTATTCCTGCGAATGAAGACCCTGTAGTAGTGTAAACATTCTATGTGTTTAATTTAATATTCTTATTCCTGCGAATGAAGACCTTGTAGTAGTATAAACATTCTATGTGTTTAATTTGATATTCTAATTCATTCCAATGAACACCCTGAATAAGTTTAAACATTCTTTGTGTGAATTATTTTTATTCTACTTCTTTCTTATGAACGTCCTGTATTAGTGTTAATATTAAATGTGCTGATGTGCTGTTATTTGTTGTCAAATTATTATGTACGATTTACATTTTGTCGTTGGTGTACAGGTGTAACTGAAGTATTAATGATGTGGCGTAAAATGGAAGTCACGAAGTAACTTGAAATGATTGGACAGGAGATTGCAGTACACTTGGGAGATAACACATTCCACCTGGAACAGACGGGATAAACCGGAGCTTTCAAAGATAAACCTTCCGGTATCGAATACTCTATAATAACTGTTGATCTGAAAACACGACATGACACAATGGACGTGGTAATTAAACCCGCTTGGTAAGTAGAATCCGAAACAAACGTAAGTCGAACATATTTCAGTTAATATCACATTGATGGTGTACCCAAGTCATAATTAGCCGAGCAGAATGTCTTGGTTTTTGTTCATTTTTGATACGAAAAATATACTAATAAAAATACGAATAATACGCAGTGAAATGTCCGAAATATTTTCGAAATCCAGTCCCATCCTTTCAAACCGAAGCTGAGACTCCTCCCCGATTCATGACACCATGTGCACTTACATGTATCAGAATATACCTAGGTGAGGAGATACAACACGAGTACCGGTTTCCCTCATGTATTGTGTCCATCACTTTACGACCACACGGTTCAGAATCCGGTTGAACTAGGGCAGGCAACAGTGAGACATTCATTACTTAGAAATTGCGTTGGGAAACCCATACGCTTAGGCTGACTGGTTTGGTTTTAAAATGTCAAAACTGTCACGGTCTGTTACATGTAGGCATTGCCATCACTTTTCATGTTTTGGTGTATATGTCTCAGAAATCAAAACCTGTTAAATTTAGATTAATACACTTCCACACCGTTTCATATAATGACTTTGACGAAGATACAATTGAAATTGACGCAACAGTTCGCAAGTAACTTTGAACATTAAATACGTTTTATTAGACCACCAACTCATGGCTAGCTAATCGAACCCACATGAACCTGATCAACGTCTATCCCTTCCTTCACATTCGAAGTATTAGGTTCTCTTCTACGGTAATGATTTGCCTGTGAAGTTTTAACTGCTGACACTTTCAAACAATACATTTCTGATGACCAATAGTCACTATAAATAAGGTCACCCACCAATGCAGGTGTCAGACAGTTAACGTGATGAGTGACAAAGACAATAAACATTATGTATGACTCCTTATGTGAGTATCGATATCGATAATATGAAGCTTCAGAGAAGCCACCAAGGTTCGATAATGCAAGGAAACAGGTTCCAATTGGGGTAAAAGACAAAACAACTGTGAAAACAGTGTGGATGGATCACTGAAAATCACTGATGACACCAGGTGTTCGCTGAAAGGGAAAGCATGCCGCTAAAAGGGCTATTAGCAGGCATTAGGGCTAAAACAAGGACTGCTCGGCTCGGCGTCCGTAAACTGTGTCTGAACGTGGGCTAGCACTACAAAATCGGCAGTGGTCCGGACCAGTACAAGACGACCGCGCACGCACGCACACACACACACACACACACACACACACACACACACACACACACACACACACACACACACACATACACACGCACGCACGCACGCACGCACGCACACACCTGCATGCACGACGCTCTATAGGTTGAGTAATCTTGAACGCGACGCTAAACCCCATTTCATCTCACCTCACCATTTATATTTGACATCATTGCATTTCAAATTATGCATGAATCGCATTCGGTACCTGTGGAAATTCTCGGTGATAATTTATTGTAATTTTTGTAAAGGAACCTGAACTTTTTCACATGGAAAAACAGCTTTTCGATTTTATCCAGTGATATTTACATATAAGTAAGACTTAATTACATGTATATGACTCCACATGAATGAATTTATCTTTGCGCCGCCTTTAACAACATTCAAGCAATATTACGGCGGGGTACACCAGAATTGAGTGAGTGAGTTAGGGAGTTAGTGAGTTAGTGAGTGAGTGCTTGGGTGAGTGAGTGAGTGAGTGAGTGATTGAGTGAGTGATTGAGTGAGGTGGGTGGGTGCTTGAGTGAGTGAGTGAGTGAGTGAGTGAGTGAGTGAGTGAACACACAAATGTGATGAACATTTAAACTCCTCTGAACACAGTAGACACATGCGTATAATGCATATTTAAATTCCTCTGAACACAGAAGACACATGCCTTTTATGCATATTTGAACTCCTCTGAACCCAGTGGACTCATGAATGCAATTTATACGCCTCGGTGAGTGAGTTAAAATTCAACGTCGCATCGTCATTTTTCCAGTCATATAACAACGAGAACAAGTTGATATGGATGCAGGTGAGCCATGGATACAAAGTCATATATAAAACATCTTGGTCAAACATGTTTTGGCATTATAAAATTTAAAAGTGTTTGAAAACGGTCCATAGGCCATCAGTAACAAGCAACCACCTCACTGGAGATCATGAGGACGTACGGTGCCTCTGCTTCCTGTATGATACCGCAGCAGGATTTACGTCAGCGCATTAGCTGCTGGTGGTTGTGCACAACATTACCCAATATTACAAAATGCTCGGCAATGATCTTGAGTTGGCTTAAAACACTGGTTGGTGATAGTTACGTTGAATATTATAGAAATTACGTGTCACACAGGGGGCTATCTCTTTGTGGTACTTTAACCTCCTAGCAGTACCTTCAATAAACTCTGTTCATAAAAGCATGCCATAAAACTTTGTGGAGAAGTGAAAAATGTAACTCGACTCCGTTGTTGTTCTATTCTTGTTATATGTGTGAAGAAGCAGCAATCTCTGAATCTCTTATCCATCAGTCAGTTTGCCAATGTTGAGGTTGCTGTTTCAGGACATAAGACTCTAAACTCCAGTCGAGGCATTGTTCGTGACAAAGCTCGATGCCATTCTGACATGTCCGAACAAGAAATTGTTACAGAGTTGAAGGATCAAGCAGTGACAGCTGTAAAACGGTTTACTAAAAAGATCGATGGCGTTATCGCTCCCATGAACACCTACCTTTTCACTTTTGATCGAATAACCATTCCTCTTTCAATTAAAGCTGGTTATGTTAACATCGGAGTGGAGGTGTATGTCCCCAATGCAATCCGATGTTATACCTGCCTAAAAGTTTGGCCATGGTTCCAAATCCTGTAATCGCCCAGGGGTTTGCCAGCGTTGTGGTGGTAGACATGACAGCAACGGACGTACGGCAGATGCCAAGTGCGTAAACTCTGAGGGCCAACATGAAGCCTGGTCAAAGTTCTGTCCTGTATGGAAAACTGAGCCACAGATATTGAAACTGAAACACAACAACAATATTTCGTATCTGGAAGCCAAAAAACAAGTTACTAACCAGTTACCATCAACTATTACTTATTCTGCTGTAGTGTATCGCTCTGTTTCCACTTCTTCAATCGAATGTCAGACTGAGTTTACACGGGTTCACTCTGATCAACCTGTAGAAACAACAACTGTCAGCCCATCAAATCCGATTGTCAGCCCAATACATCATCTTCAGAATCACAGACTGATTCACAATCTTTACCAGTTAAAAACCAGGATATGTTCATATTACAAAGACATAAAGAAAAAACTAAATAGACAACATCTTATGACATCCTCTCCTTCAGAGGTGCCTGTCCATAACTCCTTTGGACCTTTGGATACGGAGGTAATTCCGTCATCACAGGCCAGTGCTAGGAGTTCATCTTCTTCACGCTCGCATGTGGGGTCATCTATTGTGTCGCCATGACTCAAACGCATCATATGATTCAGTGGAATTGCAGAGGACTGAGCAAACACTTCAAAGAGGTTCAATTGCTAGTTCAGGACTTTAACGTGTAACCATCAGCACTGTGTCTCCAAGAGACATATCTTAAGAATAACGATGTATTTGATTTAAGTTAATATAATTGCCATCATTCGTTTTCACCTCCAGGTGATAAAGCTACTGGGGGTTCTACTATATTGATCAAGCAAGGCATCATCCATAGCACTGTTCCACTCAATACAAATTTTCAAGCTGTGGCTGTCAGACTTACATTGCACTTACTTTGTGCTCCTTTTATATTACCCCGTCGAATACTCTTCAGGAAGCTGATCTTCAGAATCTCTATGATCAGTTACCAAAACCCCGTATCATCATGGGCGATTTAAATGAGCATAACCCTCTATGGGGAAGTCCAAATACAAACAGTAAGGGAAAAGTGCTTGAAGACTTTATTTCTGACAACAATCTCTGCATATTTAATGACGATTCAAACACATATTTACAGCCTGCTATTGGTACATATTCAGCACTGGATCTGTCAATCACAGATTCAAACCTTTACAACGAATCTGAATGGTCAGTTCATGATAACCTCTGTGGGAGTGACCATTTCCCTACCATATATTTACAATAAGAAAACATCTCTTGTTCCACCACTTGGAATAAGATTAACGTTCAAGATACAGCTCCCACACAACTGTTTCCATCACCTCATTGGCAAATGGTTAGGCCAAATGTAGACCTCACATTCACTAGAATACAATCAATTACGAAACACTTATGATACTTATAAATCTATATTTACAGATGGATCCAAGGATGGTGGCGCAGTTGCTAGTCCCACTGTCAATGGATTCAGAACAATATCTTCACGACTACCAGATAATAGTTCAATATTCACAGCAGAAACAAACGCAATTTTAACAACACAAAATATATTAAGAAACAATCCAAATATAAACAATTCATTATTCTTTCTAATTCACTTTCGTGCCTTCAGGCTATTAAAAATATGTCTTATAAACATTCATTTTTAGTTGAAATTGAGTTATGTAATGATATTGCTACTGGCCAATACGACATCGCCTTTTGTTGGTTACCCAGCCATGTTGGGATCGTTGGTAACACAATGGCTGATGCTGCTGCAAAGGCAGCACTCAACAAATCTGTGACACCACTTCTCATACTATATAGCGATTATAATTCTGTTATTAGATGTTTCATCA